TCAACACATACCGAACCGAACCCAAAACCGTGACCACGAAACCGTGAATCGAACCGAACCGTGGGTTTTGTGAACCGTCCCACCCCTAGTTAACGCCCCCCAGTAAGAGGTACCGGGGGTTAACGCCCCCCTGAGTCCCAGAAGGATCCCCGTGTTCTGCTGCCTGGTTTTGGGGGTCCCTTTGGGTTTGAAACCTGCTAGTTATCCTGATTCTGTCACTGGAACCCTGAGGAAAAAAAAGAGAGAAATTAGTTCAAACAAGGGTTGTCACGATACTAAAATATTCAACTCCATACTGATACTCAGGAAAATATTCAATACTTAATACCATTTTCGATACGATAATAGAACAAAGACCCCAAAATTTAACTGAATTTTGGGTGGGGGGTACCGATACTTTTGACCACCCTAGTTCAGACGTGTCATTTATTCGTGTCACATCTAAAGTAGATCTGGGCTCTGAACTGACCGCTCAGTGAGGATCTCCATCAGAAAAGAGCCGGGATGGATATTTACCTTGTTGTCCAGAACCCTTTTAGATGATCAGGCAGCTCCAGTTCCTGCAGATGTGATAATAAAAGTGTGTTTGAGTGGATATGAGGAACTGGGAAGTACAACTATAGATTTAACACGAGTTCAGTGTCGGAGTATAACTCTCAAAATGAACAAAACCTGTAATAAATCTATTAAAACAAAGAAACCCTCTAAAGTTAGTAAATATTATCCAGTACTCTCAAAATGAACAAAACCTGTAATAAATCTATTAAAACAAAGAAACCCTCTAAAGTTAGTAAATATTATCCAGTACTCTCAAAATGAACAAAACTCCTAGAAACCTGCAGGTCCGCTGCTACTCTCAGCTCTTTTAAATCAATGCTGAAGAGCTTTCTTTTTGATGTTGCCTTTCTCTAAATGAGGTTCATTTCTTTACCGCTTAATCTCTTATACTGCACTGGAATCTTTATTCTTGTGTTTTATTTGCTTTATTTTTAACTTTTTCTTCTGTTTTATTGATTTTTTTGACTGATTTTATGTAAAGCACTTTGAATTGCCCTGTTGCTGAAATGTGCTATACAAATAAAGCTGCCTTGCCTTGCCTTTAAGCAATCCAGATGAATCTTAAATACACGGGATATCACGAGAAGATGTCTTATTCCGAAGGAGATTAGCTAGGTAGCGATTTGG